CCATTTCCAGGGATTCTTTAGGAAAGCTGCCTCCACTTTTATCCACCTTAGGGGTGTCCTGCAGAGTCCTCTGGAAAACACACTTTTGAGTTTGCACCTGCCCCTGCCATAAGGAGCCAAGCAAGAAATAGAATATAAGGTTGTTAATAGCTGTTAACACAGAGGGAGGATAATTGAAACTAATACTGATAAGGGAGCAGATTAAATTGAAACCATTTTAGTAGGAACCCTGATGCCCAAGTGCAGGCCACAGAGGAGGAAGACCAGCACTGTGTGCAGGATCATCAATACATCCTGGTCAGCAGCATTCAGTGGGGGCCATAAAGACACTGACCAGCAGGTCCAAGCTGGACCAAAAGAGAATCACAAATTAAAAAAAAATGACTAGATGAGGGGCCGGCGCTGTGGCACAGCAGGTTAACATCCTGGCATGAAGTGCCAGCATCCCATATGGGTACAGTTCTTGACCCGGATGCTCCACTTCTGATCCAGCTCTCTGCTATGGCTTGGGAAAGCAGTAGAAGATGGCCCAAGTCCTTGGGCCCCTGTACCCACGTGGGAGACCTGGAGGAAGCTCCTGGCTCCTGGCTCCTGGCTTCGGATCAGCGCAGCTCCAGCCATTGCATCCAGTTGGGGAGTGAATCAACGGATGGAAGAGCTCTCTCTCTCTCTCTTTCTCTCTCTCTCTGCCTCTCCTCTCTCTGTGTAACTCTGTCTTTCAAATAAATAAATACATCTTTAAAAATGACTAGATGAATATTATAAAACCAACATTCTTACAGTGGGTAAAGCCACTGCCTGCATTGCCAGCATCCTATATGGGTGCCAGTTTGAGTGCCGGCTGCTCTACTTCTGATCCAGCTCTCTGCTATGGCCTGGGAAAGCAGTAGATGATGGTCAATGTCCTTGGGCCCCTGTACTTGTGTGGCAGACCTAGAAGAAGCTCCTGGCTCCTGGCTTCAGAGCGGTGCAACTCTGGCCATTGCAGCCACCTGGGGAATGAACTAGCGGGTGGAGGATCTCTCTTTCTGCATCTGTCTCTCTGTAACTCTGCCTTTCAAATAAATAAATAAATCTTAAAAAAATAAGTGCTTAAAATGATCAATATAGGAGGAGATGACAAAGGGGTAGAAGAAGGCCAACTCATCCAGCAGGATTCTAATAATGTGGCAGCAAGAGGACAAGGAAATTGGCCCAGGCTGAGTTGAGGGTGTATTTGGTGAAGCTGTTTCTGTATATGCAGAAACCCAGGATCCAGAGCACAGCCACATTTCCTGCCAGCCCAATCAGGGTGATGGTGGAGATGTGTGAGCCCAGGATTAGGGGCTCCAGGTCATAAATTAGACCAACGTTCTGACTAGCTCCATCCATTGCTGTGAGTTACATTTCCCAGGCTGGGATGGTTGGAATTATGTTCAGAAACCCACCACTCATGCCACAAGACTTACATACTCACTGTATGAGCTGTGGGTCTCAGAATGATCCAATTATGCAGGAATTACTGTTCTTGTGTTACACAGAGGAGAAATAGAGGTTGGCCAAGATGAAGTGTCCTATCATTCTATCAAAATCTGGGGAATCCTGGAAATCATATTTGTAGCTGGTTTGTTGTCTCTAAACACCGGGCTCTCTCTACTTCAACACAGATTCTCTAAAAGACATAGGAATATTCTATGGTCCAAACACCTCTGTTCAGTATGCTAGAGCTTTATTACCTCTAGACTATGCTAGAGCTGTAATACCTATGTATTACTCTGTCCTGGGACAGGAATTCTTTCTCTTAGGTGCAAGAATTAAAAAAGACACAGAGGTGATTATGACATCCCTGTGATAAGAATGATCAACCCAAGGAGGAGAAAGAAGATGTTGCTCTAAGCCCACGAGGTGGAGATCATCTCTTGTTAGCACAGGTGTGAGGATGGCAAGGCCCTGTTGACCAGAAATGTCTCAGTTGTTCAGCAATTGAAGGCAGGAGTACTTGTTACTTCCCTGGTTCCTAGCTCTGTGTGCAGCATACTATGTTCTCAGTATTCAATGAGGGAAGATGTGGGTGAGGAGCACTACCATTGTGAACAAATTGGGTGAGAGGAAAAATAAAAATGAAAATACATTTGAGGCATGAATACACACCTGTGATGAGATGAAGAAAATTTTATTGATCATAATCCTTTTTGGGACTAGCCCTGTGCTGTTTGGAATGATGAATATATGCTCAGGTGGCTGAGTTGACCACTGAAGTGATGATTCAATGACTCTGCTGAGCATCCAGAAGCATTTGGTACAGAGTGTGGGGGATGGATCTGGGTGTGAGCTGCATTGCTAGGCAACATAGGGGTGGAGGGTGGAGGGTGGAGGTTGGAGGTGATGCCCAAGTACCACTGAGAAGAGTTATTTCTTTAAGGATGGGGATATCTGTGGAGGAGTATAAATAGTGTGCTGTGTGAGCCTGCTAAAGATATCTTTAGAGTGTCCTATGTGAATGAAAGCTTTTTTTTTTCCTGAGAGGAGACTGTGAAGGGAGGGAGGCAGAAAAGTGCAGCACTTGGAATTTAAAGATATGTTCATGCAGGTGTCACTGTCAAAAGAGGACCAGCTTACATCTGCATGATGAAGAGCCAGTAATTGAAAGTTTACCAGGTTGTCTCAAATTTAACCCTCTCCAGCAGGAGTCAGTGTTGTGCCATAGCATGCAAGGTTGCTGCCTGGGATGCTAACATTCCATATGGGGTGCTGGTTTGTGACCCCACTGCTCCACTTCCAAACTATCCCACTGCTAATAACCAGGGAAAAACAGTGGAATATGGCCCAAGATCTTGGGCCTTTGCTATCCATGTGGGAGGTGTCCTGAATAAAGCTCTTGGTTGCTAGTGTCAGACTGGCTCAGTCCTGGCTGTTGCAGACACTTGGGGAGGGAACCAGCAGATAAAACATTTGTCTTTCCCTCTCTCTGTCTCTTCCTCTCTATAACTCTGATTTCAAATAAATAAATAAATCTTAAAAAATCCTCTTAAGCCTCTATGAGGCGTGAATTCACTTTTTTCCCCATTTTGTAGAGGATGGAATTGGGCACAAAAATACTGATTGATCTGCTCCTAACCTGACATTGTGGATATGAATTCAGTAGAGCTGCTTCATTGTCCAGCCCACCCCCAGTGCATGTGAATTAAATGTGGATTTTTAGGGGTGAGGGAAGCAGAGGAGAGACTCCTGAGTTAAATTCAACATGGCAAATAAAAAAATGTGGATGGAAATAAAATCTAGCAGAAGCAAACTCCAGATATAAAGAGAGGTGAAGCCCATCAACTTGGAGCAAAAGAAATCTGGGTGGAAGCTAATAGGGGCAGCAAGCACAAGCCAGGAGCCTTCTGCTCTCTCACAAAGGAGGCTGAGCCTTTGGGATTTCAAGGGTTACCTGGGCAGGACACACATAAGTAGTCAGAATCTATATCCTTCTCCGAAGTCCAATGCAAATGCATCCATCATGAGCTGTCACAGAGAAACAAATGTCCCCAACTGTGGTTGGCCAGCAAAAGGAAGGGGAGTAAAACCGGGGCTCTGCTGTCTCTAGTCCGAGCACTTCCCAGTTCGTACCTCTCTTTTTAGGGTGTGGTGCATTTGTCTTCCTTATCACACCTGAAGCTCTACAAGAACTAAAGCTTACCTGCTTTGCTACTATTGTACTCCAATATTATACATGTGTTCCTTAAAGAACATTCATGATAATATTCTCAGATAACACAGAAAGAATCTGAGGATTACAAGACAAAGGAATTTTCCTGAGAACACATCATCATAAACATACCCAGTATCAGCCCTCGACTCTTGGAACCCTGTTGGAGACTGTCCCACTGCTTCTGCTCCAGCGTTGTTTACTTACATAAAAGCTCCCTAACAAAATCTTCATATGAACACAGAATTTAGGAAACCACCAGGGACTGGAGAGACTCCTAGCTTCTCTCAAATATCTATTCTTCTTCAGTGTCTGATGTTTCAGAGCCTTGATGTTGGGCTAATAAACTTATTAACGCTACTGTTTTATTGAGCCTTTATTAAGATAGCCAGACTTATTGTTTTGCATTTTCAATGCATTTTTTGTCAATGTTGCTGATTCCTCCATTAAGTTGACATTATAAAAATAAGGTGCAAATAGGAAAAAGAATAACTTTGGTGGAGATAGCAGGAGAAATTATTCCGTAAGATTCAGAAAGGAAAAGACCAAAGACTGAGAGGCTCTCAGGAGTTGTGAGAGGTGGTCTCAATTCCCGTGAAGATTTTCTTTCCATGCTTCTCTGCCTTGATAGGAACCAAGGGATTAGTTTCTGTGGAGCTTATCAGCGGAATCATTCCATTTTCCCTCTAGTTTCTGGTTCAATTGAGCAGCTGGCAAGCATGTGCTGGAGAGTAGAGGCCAGAATAACTGTGTTTTTAAGAATATCTCCTGGCTATATACCTGTGAGATGTGATTTGGCAATGGCAATGCTTCTCTATATCTATACACCCAACTGTCCTGCCCTGATGTTACAGTTACAGTCATGGTTATAATTTTCTGTAGTAGCTATGCTTTTTGTAGTAACTCCTCCTCTCCCTGTCCCTTATGTCTAGCATTGAAAATAGTGCTCCACTACTTCTAGCCTTAGCATGCTTGATCATGCATTGCCATTCTTCCTTACATTTCTCTGTAAACAGTCCTCTCATTAAGTACTCTATTACCTCCTGGAGACTTCCAGATATACAAAATAGAATAACTTGGAAAAGCAAGTAAAATGAAGACGTCTGAGTTGTCAGGAGCTCGGCTCCAAGATTCAATGCCTGCACATCATCTTCTCCTAAAAAGAATGTAGGAGGCAGCATCTCTCCATGATTTCAGACTTGAATGATTAGAATTAAGAAGAGAAGATGAAGAAGTGGATCAGAAGGGAGAAAGTTCTTGTCTCCATTTGAAATTACCACAGTTGGGACTGCGGCTACCCAGTTTTCAGAGAAAAGATTGTGTTGCCTACCTTTCTGGCAGAAACTCCATGACTCCTGAATTTTGTGCCTCTATGTAGAAACCATGGATATGAGGTTTGAAGAAAAACTGTAATAATGAAAGGACTAAGAGTCAAAGGGAGCACATAAACAAGTCTAGTACCTGCTAATACTAACCGATAGAATAAATAAAGGGGAGAGTGATCCAACATGGGAAGCGAGATACTCAGCAGACTCATAGAATGGCGGATGTCCTAAACAGCACTCTGGCCTCAGAATCAGCCCTAAAGGCATTCCGATCTGGCTGAAAAGCCCATGAGAGTATTACAGGCATGAAAAGCCAAGACACTCTGGCAAAAAACAAACAAACAAAAAAAAAACAAAAACAAAAACAAAAACAAAAACAAAAAAACCCTAAATGAAAGATCTCTGTGAGTGAGATCCCAGTGGAAAGAACAGGTCTTCAAAGAAGGAGGTACCTTTCTCTGAAGGGAGGAGAGAACCTCCACTTTGACTATGACCGTGTCTAAACAAGATAAGAGTCGGAGAACTCAAGGGGCTTCCATAGCCTTGGAAACTCATGACTGGAGCATAGGGAGACTACTGATGCCATAGACAGGAGTGTCAATTGGTAAAGTCAACAACAGGAGTCACTGTGCACTTACTCCTCATGTAGGATCTCTGTCCTTAATGTGCTGTACACTGAGGCTTAATGCTATAACGAGTACTCAAACAGTATATTTCACTTTGTGTTTCTATGGGGGTGCAAACTGTTGAAATCTTTACTTAATGTATACTAAACTGATCTTCTGTTAAAAAAAAAAGAAGAAATTAGCAATTCCAATTTGACTCTCACTGGGATTAAACATGACAATAGGTCTGATCTGATTTCATCATCATTTAAAAAATCATCTATTATTTTTCACTTTATGTTTCTGTGTGGGAGCAAACTGTTGAAATCTTTACTTAATGTATGCTAAACATATCTTCTGTATATAAAGAGAATTGAAAATGAAAAAAAAAACTGTAACTGGAAATCAGACATTTCTTGATAGTACTCTTACCTTTCTTCCTTTTTTCTCTCTGTAGTTTGAAGAGCTCTGTTGATAGGGATCGTTCTCTGTCCTCTAAATCAGGAGATTCCTACAGGAGTTGGTATCAAAACAGGTGACAAAGTGAGGCTGATCAAGATTCTGGAGCACTTCCTGGTTTCTTGTACAGGGACCTAGAGCAAATTGGAGACCAGAGCCCTTTGTGTCACAACCCTCACCAAGATATTTCTCAGCACCTGCCCTGTTTACACTCACATATGAGCCTCTCCCCTCTCATCCCATCCCATTAGGTCCACTTTTCTTGGGAGTAATTGCTGTTCTGGACCTCCATTGCCAACCACAAGCCTAAGAAGCAATTTCGAGCAATGTAAGCATTACTTGAATTTTGGGGGTTAATAAATTTACTATAAGACATTGAAGGCTCAACATGATCCGACTCTTCTTTTGTCTTTTGCAAATTTTCTTTACATTGTAGCAATGAACTCATTGCTTTGATTCCAAATGATCAAGAAGTGTACCCAGGATGAAAGTTTCCCTGACTCTCATTTTCATAAAGCATACACTTGATATTCAACGTTCTTATTTCTTTTATTATCTGAATATAAATATAATAAGTTTATCACACATAGTATATTCTGTGTATCTCCCTCCACTTCATGAAATTTTGATTTATTTGTGTCATTATTCAAAATACTGAGTATTATCCCTCATGACTTCCCTTCATGAACCTCATGCTACACTCATATTAGGCTACTTGTCATTTTTAACAGATATCATTTGAGCTTTTAAGGTCTTCCATTTGCTGCTTCACTCAACATCTTTCAAGAGTTGGGGCTGGCAAAGCTGGATCCAGGACCCAGGAAATCCATCCAGGTCTGCCACACAAATGGCAGGGAATCATATACCAACGCCTTTGTCTGCTGTCTCCCAATGTATGCCTTAGCAGAAAGTTGGATGGAGATTGGAGGCAGGACTTGATTCCTGGAACTCTTTATAATTATTATTATTATTATATCTTGATCTTTTTTATTGAACTCAAAATAGCTAGTAACATAAAATCATTAAAAAATCTCTGCAATAGTAGACTATTGAGCTATTTTTGGTTGGTGAACTTGATCGTTCAGTTCTTGCTTGCTCCCAACATGTTCTCTCCAAATTCATACATGGAAGTCCTAACCTCTAATATCTCAGAATATGGTGGTACTTGCATTGGGTTTGTCTACAAAAAGGTGATTTAGTTAATGCAATATGACTTATGTCTGCATAAGAAGAGCAGATTGAGACATAGAAGGAAGAACACATAAAGGCACAAAAGAGATGATCCCATGTATAAGCCAAGGAGAGAAGTTGCACATAAAACTAACCTTGATAACACTTTAATCTCTGACTTCCATCATTCATAATTGTCAATAGAAACTTTTTTGCTAGTATCACTGAGTCGGTAATAGTTTGTTCCTAAACCTCTCGTAGACTAATAGAACTGACTATATCCAGATATTATCTCAGGCTTTTGAGTTTCAGTATGAACAAAACTAGAAAATGGACTTTTAGAACTTACCCTTGGAAGCTCAATGAGCTCCTTCAGAAAGTAAATAACAATTGAAAAGAGAGATCTGAGAGATGTCTGTGGGAGCCAGTATAGCATACACAGAGAAACTGATTAATGGATCAAATATGTCACAATTAGAAAGAAATGGGTAACTCTGATACTCAGGTCACAGCTTTCTGTCAGCTTGAGCAGACAAGGCTGCCTTTATCACCCCTCCCCAGCTGTAGATAGTGAGTACAGAGCTGTTAAGATCCAACACGGCGATGGGGGCGAGGAGGTTAGCACTGTGGTGTAGTGGGTGAATGGGTGAAGCCACTGCCTGTGGTGCCACCTTCCCCGCATGGGCACCGGTTCAAGACCTAGCTGCTCCACTTTCAATCCAGCTCTCTTCCATGGCCTGGGAAAGCAGTAGAGGATGGTTCAAGTCCTTGAAGAAACTCCTGGCTCCAGGCTTCAGATTGATCCTGCTCCACCCATTGCAGCCATTTGGAGAGTGAACCAGTGGATGGAAAATCTCTCTGTCTCACTGCCTTTGCCTCTCTGTAACTCTGCCTTTCAAATAAATAAATCTTAAAAAAACAATACAAGCCAGCACCGCAGCTCACTAGGCTAATCCTCCACCTTGCGGCACCGGCACACCAGGTTCTAGTCCCAGTCAGGGCGCCGAATTCTGTCCTGGTTGCCCCTCCAGGCCAGCTCTCTGCTATGGCCAGGGAGTGCAGTGGAGGATGGCCCAAGTGCTTGGGCCCTGCACCCCATGGGAGACCAAGAGAAGCACCTGTCTCCTGCCATTGGATCAGTGTGGTGCGCCGGCCACAGCACACCAGCCGCGGCGGCCATTGGAGGGTGAACCAACGGCAAAGGAAGACCTTTCTCTCTGTCTCTCTCTCTCACTGTCCACTCTGCCTGTAAAAACAAAACAAAACAAAAAAACAATACAACATGCGGAAGATACAAGCAGTCCTTATCCCTAGACAAGTTCCTGTGGATGGAGCCTTTGAACCTGTCAAGTGCTGGTTGGAGGCCAAATACCCAAATCGTGCAGATTTCCATCATTTAAGATAGCTTCACTTGTGTCCTGGGCTGTTGTCCCATCTTATCTACGTACAGACTATAGCAGTGTGGACTTTGGTGCCATGCTGTGCTAGTCTCAGTGGCCTGTGATATCTGGATGTTTAAAAGCACTGTACTATTCATGATCTCAAGACTGGGTACCTGACCCTGCTACAGCCCAGAGAAGAGACTTGTGGTCAAGACTCCCTCTTTCAGAAACCTGCTGATTCATTTGGAGTCACACATCAACTGTGAATTTGGGACAAACTTGAGCCCAGAGCATTTGGTGACAGTGCACTGGCAGCAGATTTATAGAAAAAACTTAACTTCGGCTGGCGCCGCGGCTCAATATGCTAATCCTCCACCTTGCAGGGCCAGCACACCGGGTTCTAGTCCCGGTCAGGGTGCCAGATTCTGTCCCGGTTGCCCCTCTTCCAGTCCAGGTCTCTGCTGTGGCCCGGGAGTGCAGTGGAGGATGGCCCAAGTGCTTGGGCCCTGCACCCACATGGGAGACCAGGAGAAGCAGCTGGCTCCCGGCTTCGGATCAGCACGGTGTGCCGGCCGCAGCGCGCCAGCTGCAGTGGCCATTGGAGGGTCAGCCAACGGTAAAGGAAGACCTTTCTCTCTGTCTCTCTGTCTCTCACTGTCCACTGTGCCTGTCAAAAAAGAAAGAAAGAAAGAAAGAAAGAAAGAAAGAAAGAAAGAAAGAAAGAAAGAAAGAAAGAAAGACCTTAACTTAAGGTGCCACCTGTGCTGAAGTGGTGGAAGTGTCTACAGGCTCAGAGAAAATAACCAGACTGCTTTAAATTTCTGGAAGAACAGCTACAAATGAGGTCACGTTAAGAAGACTGGAAAAGAACAATGAATATTTCAGTGTGCAGAAGCTATCATGTACTAACAAACATTAAGAGCTGTCAGGGAATCGTGGCCTCACATAATGAGCAAAATAAGTGCCAGCAATGAAGCACTTAGGATCTGATGTTTTCAAATTCTTGGGTGAAGAATTTATGTATTTTTAAAAGAAACCCAACAGCCGGTGCCGTGGCTTACTTGGCTAATCCTCTGCCTGCGGTGATGGCATCCCATATGGGCACCGGGTTCTAGTCCTGGCTGCTCCTCTTCCAGTCCAGCTCTCTGCTGTGGCCTGGGAAGGCAGTGAAGGATGGCTCAAGAGCTTGGACACCTGCACCCGCAGGGGAGACCAGGAAGAAGCACCTGGCTCCTGGCTTCAGATCGGCACTGCTCTGGCCGTGGGAACCATTTGGAGCGTGAACCAAAGAAGGAAGACCTTTTACTCTGTCTCTCTCTCACTAACTCTGTAATAAAAAAAAGAAAGAAAGAAACCCAACAAACTTCAATATAACAGAGAAATGACTTCATACTGAAATGGAGAGACTT